TTAAGAATTTTAAAGAGGAAAAAATTTTTAATTATTATTTATATAAGTTGTTAAATTTTTATTTAAAATTTATATTTAACAAGTTAAAAAATTAAATTAAATTTATTAAAAGTAAAGAGAGAGTAACTTTTTTCTAAGGATAATATCATTAGATATATAAATTATCTCTAAATTTTTAATAAAAAATTTAAAAATAACAATTATTTAATTAAAGATAGAAGAAGTAATTAAGTGTCTATTTTGTTACTGAATGTTTTGAAAATTATGAATCAATAGTTAGATGTTTAATACTACCTCTGAAAATATACTTTTTGCAATACCAAAGCTGAAAATCGGTCAATTGTAATTTTTTTTTAAAAAAAGAAGACTTTTTACTTTTCTAATTTAAATCCATTTTTTTTATAGTTGCTAGTATATAATAACTCATGATCCAGGGGTGCCTTCGTAACCAACAACACTTTTATCAATTTCTCTTGTACATAATTTGCTTTTGTTGCTTGGAAAAATGTATTTATTTAGAAAATAATTAATATACAATTAGTTTAATACACTTTTTAATACTTGTTTTAATTTAATTATTAAAATATAATATAAATATAGTCAATTCAATTGATTCTTACATTTTGTATGTATAATTATATTTTTATGTCTGTTTATTTTGTAATTTTAAATTAAAAAATAATAATTTTTTAATTAATATGTTATATAGTGTATTGAATTAAAATGTATATTAATTAATGTCCTATTTTTTTTGGTACAATTAATTAATTGTTTATATAAACAGTGAGAAGTCAAGCTCCACTGCGAGTTCACTACTGGAAGGGTGGGAGCAATAGGATGTGAAGGGAATGGTTCTTTTTTGTCTCACCTTACAAATCATTCTCTCTGTCTTATGTGGGCGTTGAAAATACAAAATTAACCTTTTCTCCAAAGCCATTCTATGGTTTGCCTACTTAGTGCCGATTGGATTGCCATTGCTACTTTGGGCAGACTTTCTAACTTCTGTGCAGAATCTATCGCCACCAATATCTTTAGAGCATATTGGGCTCCGTTACTCTTGGTACATCTTGGTGGCCCTGACATTATCACAACTTATGATTTTGAAGACAACAAGCTTTGGATTAGGCATCTCGTCATCCTTGTTGTCAAAGTCTTTTTTGTCATTTATGTCGTTTGTTTGTTATGGACCTTTTCTTGGCTTTGGTTTTTGACTCTCCCTCTCATCTTAGCTGGAATTATTAAGTATGTAGAGAAGATATTGTGTCCCAAGTTGAATAACTCACAGAAAATAAAAACCAATCATTTCTGATATGTTTAATCTTCAAAGCAATGTTGTTAAATCCATTTCGTACCGGTTGATATGGTTGATACGTATTAATTTTTTAACTAAATTGAATTGATATAGGGTTAAAATCTGTTTTGGTCAAATTTTGGTTTTTTCGATCAAATTTCGATCTACTAACTAGTATTTTGTGTATTAATTGATATGGTAAAATTTCACGGGTCAATTCAAATCTTAAATGAAAAAAAAGAAGGTAAAAAGGCATATGAACCCTTGTACTCAATGAATGGTGGCAAATCAGCCCCTTAACATATATGACAATAAGGTGGCA